GGTCCATTGTTCCCACTGCCCCACATTCTAAGTCCCTGAAGTTCAAGTTCAATCTGGAATTACATCATGTCTGGTTTCTCCTGGTTACCAGACGGCCTGAGACGTGATCACTGCTACACAAAAAAAAGGGGGGGGGAAAAAACAAACAGTTTTCTTCACGCTTCAGTTACTTCTATCGATCTGAACAGAAACATATTTTCCCCTTTCTTTTTTTATTTTTGTTAGGCATGCTTCAAGAGTGGGGTCTGGCTAATTTAGAGATTAGGCTCCAAATTAGATTATCTAATGGCATCTTAATGGATTGCTGATCCATTTCCTGCAGACTGACAATGGGCAATGTATAATCTGTCTCCTTGGAAAAGATGTGGAGATATTTGGGAGCAGGGTATTGTCTATACTGAATTATACAGCATTTGATTATTATGACTACTATTATTAAAGGTAAAAAACTCCATGAAAAAAATCAAGATTGTCTGAGAATACCTATTATAAATGTATTCTGCTCCTGTCATTCAGAAAACACAAAAGAAAACAAGGAAACTTTAATAAAACTAACTGGGTGTACACCTAACTAATATGCTGTATTTATGTTTGATATCCCTTTCCAATGTGTATGCTTCCATTTAGTAACATGTGGGAACTGCCATTCAATCTAAAATTAATCACCAGTCACAAACTACAATGGACTGGCAAACTAAAGAAAGCATATTATCTTAAATAGTAGAAAGCTTGCAACAACCATCTCTCATATATTAGGCGACCCTTCTATTTAATATACAATATTAGGAATGAATCACTGCTTTTTTAAACTTTATACAACTGCCAGTAAATCATATCGTATCCTATTTCACACAAGAGGCATGATTTGCTGTGCAGGAAACTGAAAGGGAAGCTGTATTTTTTAAATTCCCCTGCACATTATTGGATGTTTGCAATGGACAAATGCGCATAACATCTCACTTTCCGCTTCAGTAAGTCAGGCCCATGTTTTCTTCAATTGCCACTTAAGTATATCAGACCCATGTTTAGTTCACTGCACCTCCTCTTACACTTTAATAAATCAGGAATTAACAGAATCTTTGTATGGCTTTTCTTCTTTTTTTGACTGTGTCTCCGTTTTATACTACTTAAAGTGACATTAAACCCTCAGATTTTTTAACATAAAACAATACTGTAATGTGCGCCTTACTGCAATCCATGGTTGTTTCCCTTCTCTTTGCTGCTCTTCCTTTTAAATCCTTCTCTCTTCTCATGCTGGGGAGAACTTCCCTTTTCAGCTCAGGGCCTCTTTCTGTTGTGCTGGCTCAGATTACAAGCCTATACAAACGTATACACAGACACCGTGTATCCATTCCTGAGGTAAGGCAGTCTGCTGCAAAACAGAAGTTCTGCCCAGCATGAGAAGACATGAGGATTTAAAAGGAAGAGCAGCAAAGAGAAGGGAAACAACCATGGATTACAGTAAGGCGCACATTACAGTATTGTTTTATGTTAAAAAATCTGAGGGTTTAATGTCACTTTAAAGCTCTACATCTGAAGTTAGTTTGAGGAAAAAGTATTTGTTAATGTTTACAAACTTTAAATATATAAAAATAACCAGTAAATACTACAGAATTTTGCCTAGCAATCATCTGGGTGTAAACATTTATTAAAAAAAGTTGGGATTTGCAAAGGCCACTGCCAAGCCTTTTCCTTGCAGCAAGACCACAAAACATAAAGCTGCCCTGCAGATAACTGACATATTTTATTTACATCTGACTTTGTTGTATTTTATGATAACAACTGATAACAGGAAATCCTGAAATCCTGCCCATTCTACCAGTTGTGTTTCCTACACTGTTCACTAGTGAGTGTGTAAAGGGCATACTTCCTCTCTCATTATCAGATTCCCAACCTTTCTCAATTTAGGAACCATTCACATAAAAGGGTCAGAGAGCAGCAAAACAACATTAACAATTCTTTATCAGAAAGTGAACAAATTCCAGTAGTTAAAACCTAAGGCTTATACAAATTGATTGCTGATGTCTAGTTGCTGTAGCTCATTGCTCTTTATCATATGGAAGGTCGTTTTAAATTCCCCAGTGATTGAGACAGTAAAGCTTTTACCCTACAGACTGGCTTGTTCTAGTATGTTGATCTGTAAAAAACTATATAATAAGTTTTCATTTAACAATATCACATTTAAGAAAATTGGGGTAAACTAGGGATGCACCAAAATTTTGGCCACTGAAACATATCGGCCGAAAATGGCACTTTCGGACGAAATTGTGGTGCATGCCTGGTTTCTCTTCCTCCCCCCCATGGGCGCTGCTCTGTGTCCCCTCTGACACAGTGCAGCGTTGAGCAGGGATGAAAGAAACTGTCAGAGGAGGCCAAGCGGTGTGGGGGAGGAGAGCGCTGTAAGAGGCCGGTGTGTCACAGGAGGCCGAGCAGGGCGGTGCGGGAGGAGACAGTTTGTGACAAATCAGGATGGAGAGCGGTGTGGGGGCGGAGACAACTGTCACAGCAGGCTAAGCTGGCGGTGCAGGGGAGGAGTCAGCTGTCAAAATAGACCGAGCTCACCTTCCTGCACCGCCCGCTCAGCTTCCTGTGACAGTGAGTCAGGATAGAAAGCGGGTACAAGCAATCAGTGATCAGTGACTGCTTGTACATAATTGAGGACAGAGTATGTTTACTGTGTCCCCAATTATGAATGAATAGGAAGTACTATACATCACTTCCTGTTCATTCATAATTGTGGACATGGTAAACATACTATCTCCTCAAGTTATGAATGAACAGGAACACTCAGTATAGAGGATTCATGTTCCATATAACAGGGGCTGCAGAAAAAGATTTTTTTGTGTCTTCAAACACTTTTTCTATTTTAAAAGGGAAATATCAGGGATCTGCTTAGAACCCTGATATTTCTCCAGAGTCCCCAACAGTAAAGTTAAAAAATAAAAATATTTCTAAAAATAAATATATATATATTAAAAAAAACTAAAGTTTAGAAAAATATTATTTTAAAAAATAAAAAAGGTTAGAAAAAAAAATTCAGTTTTGGTGTCGGCTGACATTTTTATTTTATTTTTCAATTTTGGTTTCAAAATTTCATTTTGGTGCACCTCTAGTCTAAACTGTATTTGTAAGAAAATAAAGTCATTAATCAGCTATTGTCTGAGCTTGCACCCTAAAGACATAAAATAGCTCTAGAATTTCTTAAGAAGTGTTATCTTACCTCAGTCTGGTTGTCTTCTGAAGCAGGAATGCCCCAGAGCCTCCTAAATATAATACTAACTATACTTTAAGAAAACCAATCTTGCCCAGACATGGCTAGCCTGACCTATCCTACATTCACCCAGATATCAAGGATAACTTGCTACAAACTTGAGGCGGGGTGAAATTGTAATTTTGTTAACTTGCTGCACACATTCCTGGCAAGTTGTAGACTTGCAGAACACTTGCAGCACAAGTTCTAGCTAACACCTTTTGAATTTGTAGCAAATTTGCTTGGCAAGTCTACAGCAAGAGTGCTGCAGGTCTTAGCTAGAGCTCTGCAAGCGTACAGTACTTTTGCAAAGCACGTTGATCTGGAAACTTGCAATGCAGATTTGCTGTAATTGTGCAACAAAATTGTGAAGCTTGGCAAGTCTGCAATACTTTAGCAAGTCATTTTCAAACTTGCAGCTCAATTGCTTGCTATCTGTGCAGCCAGTACACATGTTTGACCAAGTCAGACAGACCTGAATGTTTGGTTCCCAAAACAGGACTTCTTTATTTTTTGATGGCACAATGGAAGCAATCTTAATGATGAATGCCTATATGACCAGATGCTGCCTAATTATCATATCATGGTATTTTCTATCCCACCCATGCTATAACTTAACTGATTTTATCTAAGTAGGATAGAGCATTGCGCTATGCACAATATTTTTGGCAGATTAGGTCAAACCTGACCAACAACCATGTGTGTGAGAACAACAACTGAAGACAGTATTATTCCATGAAAAGAATACACAAAATTTACAGCAATTGAGACAATTTTCTTTTTTTATAGATAATACTTTTGGCTTTTTTTGTTAAGTTTTTTTTATATCTGAGCCACAAAACATATTATTATTATACATGTCTGTAGCAACTTCCGAATGTAAGTGGAACAATCTGTACTTCATATTGAACAAAAGCATGCATATATAAAAACACTGCCACCCACACCAACAATCAAGTAGCTGCAGCATCTGCCAACAAAACTAAAATATTTTACTAAAATGGTCCATTATTTTTCCAGCTTTTGCTTTTCATTTTATTATCAAACATGCTTGTGACAAACAATTAGCAATATTTTTAGTTAGCAAGCTTTCTTAGATTACTAATGATTTATGTAAAACATGCTTTTCTCTTACCTTTTAATATGACTAAACAAATTAAAACTGTTCCATCAGGAAATAGTTAGTATGTTGATTAGTAGGTTAGTTCATGATTTAGTTTACCACTGCATGTAACAAAAGTAAGCTTTGTGTGATTATATGCATGAATATGTATGTATGGGTCTACATTTGCAATGTGTTTATTCATGATTCTGTTGTTTATGTTGTGTTGGTAATAAACAGTGTATGCATAGAGTCATAAAGCTCCAGTTCTCTAGAACATCTGAAGCATGTGCTTCCTTAAAGTAATGTTAATGTATAGATGTTTTTATTTGACAGCAGACATGTGGAGATCCAGACATGGATTAACTCATTAGCTGCTGGCCATATTTGCTCCAAAGGCATTTTGCTTGAGCATATAACCAGTCAGCATACCAGTTTGTCCAAGCTGTTCACGCATCTCAGGAAAGCCTGACTACAATGGAGCAAATATGTTTCAACAGTTCTATGCACAAATGTTTTGGTTAATTGTGATATGTAAATAAACGTTTCCAGGAGAGAGAAAAGGAGGGGTGGGAAAAGCTACAACAGCGCTATGTCTCAATGTAATTTATAGATGAAGTGTAGGGTTGGAAATAATTAAAATTTTACCTTTGCCAAGTTATTCCCAATGTATCCTCACTGGCACTGGGGTATAAATGCCTGCCGTTTTGATTCATGGTCCAGTCACAAATCCTCAGCTGTCAATTGAAACCTAGCAGTCAGATATGGATCCAGCAGTACTGCAGATTTTTAGTATTTAAATGAATACATGCAATGGCACAAAACTTTGAGTAATCGTACTCTATCCGTATCATGGTTCAGTTTAATGTGCAACTCTCCAGTAGCACACACATGTACTTTGAATATTATCAGTGCACTTTCACACATGACAGGTAATGGAGCTAATTTATAAAAACTGTAACAAAGCAAAACGTTGTTTTACATAGCAGTCAGTTGAATTCTGTGTTTTGTTATCTTCTTGGGCAGAATAAAAAATGGAAATTAAAGCCTTTGTGGTTGAGATGGGCAACACCTATTCATTTAACCATTTTTCACATTTTCTTGTCTGGAAACAAATAAGCAGCTAGTTATCTGCCTGTTTTTTAGATACTGTGCAGTTCATCAACTGGGTGATTTGTAAAGCAGAAAGTGAATATAAATACAATGAATGGATCAATCCACCCATTGATGCTTACTTTTTAAGTAGATGCCAGTGTGGTTGAGTCCCGAATCACTATTGTTTTTTTATTTGTTTGTTGCTGTCTGCACCTTTTCCTAAATCTGCCTATCTGTAATTATGTGCAGACCTCACTCTACTGCTTGTCTATTTCCCATTATGGTGAAACTGCAACAAGTGTGAGCTGTTTGGATAAGGTGAGGCTGTGAGGAGAATTTTTAAGGGGAGACCTTATCTTTGTCTCTGACAGATAACAGAAGCCAGCAGGTGATTAAGCCCAGCTGAACACTCTAAATCTAAAATATATGATTTGGGGTGAACGTTAAAGTGTCTTGCTTTTAACGTGCATTAGCACATTAAACTGTGCAGAACCTTTGGAGACAGAAAAGTTATTAAGCTGATAGGTATTCTGTTTTGCATGGACCTAGGTACAGTGAGAAGCTTTTCTCTGCAAACAGAGATCATCGTCCATGGTTTCTGGTCTACTTTCTCCCATGTCTCACTTCTAGTTAGTGAGGCTGCCTATCACAATAACAAGTCAAAAATGGGGTGCTGGAGGAGAGTCAGACCCAGGACCATGGAATCTAGTCATTGTTTGTGGAAAGAATCATTCAGCTATTGTGGCGAGCAGGCACCTAATACAAGGTAAGGCTGGGTTCACACTTAGGCGCATCGAATATGCGCGCTTCTAGCGTGATTCGCGGTAAAAAACCATGCGACAAACGCGCGTTTCCAAGGGCTACTTGGCTGTATCCCAATGGAAACGCGCGACAAAAACGCCCCAAAGTAGCTCCTGTACTTCTTTGGGCATAGGACGTTTTGTAGCGCGTTCATACGGCCTGTAATACGCCCAAGTGTGAACCATACCCATAGGAAATAATGGGATTTCAGTGTTTGAGCGTTTTGCAGAGCGTTTGAACACGCTACAAAATGCCCAGGTGTGAACCGGGCCTTCGCATAAGCCTAATATCCTTTCTATTCCCACATCATTTTAGTGACCTACTGAATATTGGAAGACCACAGATAAACATATGACTGCTATGTAAGTTGTTGTAAGTCCACCACAAAAATGTTGATTGCTTCATGAAAATCAGTTATCGCCATAAGTTTCCTTTTTGCGCATAATACTTGCAGATATACCTAATGGCAATTTTTAACTTATCTGTGATAAAATGAAATTGTTAGTGATCAAACATGATAAAAGAATTTCAATTTAAGGGAAAGTGCATAACAGTTGCTGCTGAAGGCAGATTATCTGGTCAGTGTCGGGTCTGTGGCATGCAGGTTATACAAAACAGCATCATAGAAAACATGCAATTGTAGACATAAAGTTTGCAAAAGTTTAAAATGGAAAACACCAACAAAAATTAGTTGCAACTGGTTATCGTATGATATGCAGATTCTCTTGACGTTTGGTCTGCAAAAATGCGTTAGCATGCCAAGACTACTTCTATATTCGAAAGCCTTTCAAATCTACTTTGTTAGAGGCTGACATTTGTGAAATTCACTTTGTATAGGATGCATATTTTACTATCCTATATTGCACACACTGCATTAAAAATACTACTTAGACAAATATTTGAAATTATATGTAATGGGCTCCTCTTGGATACACCTTAGTGTAAAATTTAACTATTAAACAGCTCCCTCATAACCAGCAATTACTCCCTCATTTTTTATGTATATTTACTTGTCCAAAATTTCAGGCCAGCGCTACAAAGTAATTTTTAGCAGTTCAGTTGTGATATTTAAATCGCTAACAATTAAGCATTATGTCCCCATCTTTTTAGCCAAAATGTCATGCGTGTTCCTATATGAATGTTCTCCAGAAAGATTTATTCTACTTGGAAAACCTTGTTAGATTTAAACACAGACAGATAGCACCTAAACTACAAGGAAAGTTATGGCAGCTGAGAAGCAGCATTTATCATTTTAATCAGTACACGTATATTTTGGGGCTGTTGTCTCTTTTCCATAGAGTATAAGATGAAGGTGCTCTAGGTAGTCCTTTAACAGCACACATTATTAGCTGAAAAAGATAACTCAAATAAACCTTATCAAGAAGCACATAAACCAACTAATTAAGTAATTGTATCTATGGTAGAAAGACAAGCATAACATATTTTAACTGGGTGACGGGGTTATTTTGAAGTGTCAGATACAGTA